ACAATAGGAACTGGGGACTTCCACATCCCACCTGTCAATGGACAGATCATCTAGACAGACAACCAGCAAAGAAGCACTAGACTTAAGAAGCACTACACACCAAATGGACTTAACATTTGTGGAACACTGCAGAATATGCATTCTTCCCCCTCAGCACGTGGAACATTCTCCAGAAGAGACCCTACATTCGCCCACAAAACAAGCCTCAACTCATTTTAAAAAATCAAAATCACCTTTTCGCAGGCCATAATGGAATAAAATATTAGTAATAAACCTGAGGAATTGTAGATATCAGCCAAATGCATGGAAATCAAACACCATGTTCCTGTACAATCAATGGATCCCTTTTACCACTCTCCTCAACACACAACTGGGAGTGCTACCCAGCACAATTTAGCAAGAGCAAAAAAATAACAGCATCAATTAATAGTCCTTACTTGCAATCTATATGATCTTATATATAGGAAAATTTAAAACTTCATCAAAAGAATTAAAATAATTCAATAAAAATGCAGGATACAGGATCAGCTTACAAAAACCAACATTTCAATACCCTAGGAACAAATCAGATGAAAAGAGATCAAGAAGGCAACCCAGTGGTAGAACAAGGAGTTGATAGAAATTGAAGAGATGACTAAAAACTGCAAAGTCATCCCATGGTCATGCATTTGAAGAACTAGAACTTTTAAATGTCCAACTACTATAGACACAATGCAATTCCTCTCACAATACCAATGACATTCTTCAAAGAATAAGAGAAAGTATTTGCAAGTTGTTCCCCTGATGAGATTAAGGAACTCAACCCAAAAGTCCCCCCACAAAAATGCACTTAAAAACGAGCTAATTATCTGAGTAGATACATGTCAGAAGAAGATATACAAATGGCCAAAAACTACATGAAATAATGCTCAATCATATTAATCATCAGGGACTTGGAACTCAAAACCTCAATGAAAGATTCTCTCTCCCAGGTCTGACCAGAAAAAACACAATGAACAAATTCAAGGACATAGAGAAAGGGGAATTCTCGCACACTCTGGACAGGAATGTCCATCAATGCAGTCCTTGTGGCAAACAGTGTGGTGTTTCCCCAAAACACTAGAAATAGAACTGCCATATGATCCAGCAATCTGTCTGTGCGTATACATCCAAAGGAAAGGAAACCAAATGTTGACAACATAGTTGCACGCCACGTTTACTGCAGCACTGTTCATGAAAGCCAAGGTATGGAGTCAACCTAGACACTCTACTGGTAGATGAATTGATAAATAACACCTGGTTACATATGCATAATGGAATAATACTCAGCCATAAAAAAGAACATAGCCATGTCATCTGCAGCAACATCCATGAGCCTGGAAGGTATTGTGGGTTTTTCTGTTTGTGTATGGTTTTTTTCGGTGGGGGAAGGATTTTATTTATTTGAGAAGTTGAGTTCCAGACAGAGGGAAACAAAGGTCTCCCATACACTGGTTCACTCCCTAAATGGGTACAAAGGCCAGAGCTGAGCCGATCTAAAGCCAGGAGACAGAAGCCTCTTTCATGTCTCCCAGGTGGGTGCAGGAGTCCAAACACTTGGACCATTCTCCACTGCTTTTGCAGCAGAGAGCTGGATTGGAAGAAAAACACCTGGGGCATGAACCAGCACCCATTTGGCATGCCAGCACCACATGGGGAGGGTTAGCCCACTACATCACAGTGCCGGCCCCAGGGAGGACACCCTATTAGTTAAACAAGTCAATCGCAGGAGGAAAACTACTGCATGTTCCCATTTACGTATGAAATCCTAAAACGTTGATCTCACAGAAGTAGGCAAAAAGAACAGAGTTTACCAAAGGTTGGAAAGGGGAGGGGGGAGTGGAGGGAGGATGGTGGACGGGTACAGAGCACAGTTCACTGTGAAGAGCAATGTCAAATGTTCTGCCACACCGTGAGGTAACCAATGGAAAGGTAATTAATTAATTAATTTTACTGCAGTCCTGTTCCCAGTAGCTAAGGAATGCAAACAACCTACACATCCATCCACCATGGATGGAAAAGAAAAAAAGGGGCACGTGTACACATAGGAATACTACTCGGCTATAAAAAAGGTTGAAATCTTGTCATTTGTGGTACCATGGGAGGATCTGGAAATCACTGGGTTAAGTGAAATCAACCCAAGCACAGAAAGACAAACACCACATGACCTCACTCACACGTGGAATCTGCAAAGTGGTGATATCCTGGAGGCTCAGGGCACAACGGCAGTTGTCAGAGGCCGGGAGGCAGGGACGAGGGCAGTGGGCAGGGATGGACTAGTGTGAGTCACAGCTGATGGAGCAGGAGTCTCTGTGCTTCTGCTGCGCGGGAGAGGACAAGGCTGATGCCCTGTGTATCTCCCTAAGAAGGCAGACACAGCCCTGCAGTGTGGCGTTGCTTCCCCACAGGAACAAGCCCAGTGAACTCGGGGGACAGAGGAGGTAGAGGTGGGGAGCAAGGGCTTTCCACCCCTCTGCTCACTTCCTGCATGGCCAACCAACAAAGATGAAAGTCCAGGGTGATCACACCATGGACAGGACCAGTCCTAACCCTGTGATTCCCCACAAGCTCAGGTTACACTCAGGTCTGAAATCATGCAATTCTAAGCCCTAAAAACCAAGGACCCACATAAGATGACCTTGGTGAAGTTCTAGGGATGCTGGGAAGGGAGATCCCGCCCCAGTTCCCTGTCCTCACGCACTGACACTCTGTAACGGTGGGCGCCGCAACTATAGGATGCAGGTGCAGAGGCGCAGGTATCAGGATATGACAGAATCACCTTCTGCAATCCTGAAAAAAAACGAGGAGGGGGCTACTATGCCCATTTTGTAGCAGGGAAATTGAGGCATGGGACAGGGAATCCACATAAAGCCACGTCACTTCTCACAGCAGAGTCCAGATCACACCCTGTCTCTCCAGCTCCTCATTAATCTCCTGGATCCTCTCCTGTACCCCAGACCTAGAGGCTCTCCCCTAGGCACTGGACCCAGATTGCTCTTGCTCTACGGCACTATGGGCACTGCAGGGTGTGGGGCAGCATCTCTGGCAACCACCTGACCCAAGCCAGGAGCACCTCCCGGTTGGGCCAACCACAGTGTCCCTTAAGGAGACACAATCTCCATACCTAGGAACCAGGGCCCCATGGACAATCTTTACTCAGTGGACAAAGAAACTGTTTTTTAAATTTTTTTCATCAATTTTCATTTGACTTGAAAAGCAGAAAGAGAGGCGGAGCTCTCATTGGTGGCAGGGACCCAAGTGCTCAAGCCACTGCCTGTGCCCCCCAGAGACACGTCAGTGGGAAGCTGGATTGGAAGCAGAATACTGGCAGCCAAACCCAGCACCCTCATGGGGGATACAGGCATCCAAGCTAGCCATTTGACCTCCTGTGCCACAAACCCTCCTGCAACAAAGCTTTTAAAAACAAATCCAGCAACCTGCACCACTGCCTGCAGTGCCACCATCCCTTATGGGCACCAGTTCAAGCCCTAGCTGCTCCACTCCAATCCAGCTCTCTGGGAAAGCAGAAGATGGCTCAAGTCCTTGTGCCCCTGCACCTGCATGGGAGACACAGAGGAAGCTCCTGGTTCCTGGCTTCCAATCGACCCAGCTCCAGTTGTTGGAGCTATCTGAGGACTGAACCAGTGGTTGGAAGACTTCTCTCTCTCTGCCTCTGCCTCTCTATAACTATACACTGGATTCTGCCTCACTCAGTGTCACACACATCATCTCCCTTTACACTGCCACAGTCACTGATTCAGGGCCCTCCACCACAGCTGCAGAGTCTGTCCCACGATGGGATACCACAGGAGAACCACACTGTGGGGTGAGACCCAGGATCAGGTGGCACCCGTGGGGCATGGGAAGGTATCCTGGGGTAGGGGGCTGGGCAGTAAGAGCCAGGAGGAGAGCAGGTCAGGCTGTCCAGGGAGAAGCAGAAGGGGGCCCCCAGCAGGCAGGCTGTGCAGCCAAGGAGCAGGGAGCCTGGACAGAGACGCCTCCCAGGATGCAAAATAGCTCAGCCCCTCTCAGGCTGCCATCAGGAAGATCCAAAGGTGTGCCCTCCAGTCAGGGAGCCACACCGTGAGACATCAAGGCTCAGTAGGCAGAGAAATGAGGCTGAAGCAGAAGTGACAGTGGCGAATGATCCGCAGGCCCCAAGGCCTGGACAGCAGTCTCCAGGATGCACGGAAGACCCATGCCAGCACGGAGATGTCCCCAGATGTCACTATCCCAGCACCTGCAGGCCACACCTGATACAACACCTGTTTGCTTCATTTCCCACACGGTTGCAGGGGCCCAACGACTTCTGCCATCCTCGGCTGCCTGTCCCAGGCACGTTAGCAGGGAGCTGGACTCGAAGTGCAGCACCCATATGGGATGCAGGCACTGCAGCCCAGGGCTTTAACCCTCTGAGCCACAGTGCAGGCCCCATCTATGGGAATGTTAACCATATAAGTTGCAACATATATTCTAAAATTAACTGCACACAAATACACAATGCTTAACTTGGGCACTTTCAAATCTATTTATATAAAAATACATGCCCCCTTTATAAACAGGTTCCCCATTACAGAGATGAAAACTCACTTCATTTCTATATATGTAAGCAGTTTAAGAATACTGGATCCTGCCGAGGATCAGGTCATTTTTTCCCCAAAAACGTTCTAAAGATGACCATAGCACAAAAGAGGATTCACTACATGCCTGCTGACTTAACCCTTGGTTCACTGCACTCCTTCACAGGTACGAGATCACCCTGGATAATCTTCCCAGAGAATCAAAAATGCAATCCGTCCTCTCGTGCTGTCAGAACAACCGCGGAAAGCACACTGGGGACACTCAACCAACACCAGTGCTCACGTGACTGAGGCAGTCGTCTTGGACAACAAAGAAAGACTTCCATCCAGGATCCAGTAAAAAGCAGGAGGCGGGGAGATGAAGAAGTTCTGGAAACGGGGCCCGTGTTGTGGTGCACTGGATAAAGCCACAGCCTGAAAACCCTCACATCCCATGTGGGCACTGGTTCCTGTCCTGGCTGCTCCAATTCCAATCCAGCTCCCTGCAAGTGGTCTGCAAAAAGCAGAGGAAGATGGCCCAAGTACCTGTGCCCCTGCAACACACACAGGGTACTGGGCAGAAGTATCTGGCTTCAGCTTGGACCAGGGAAGCCACTGCCACCATCTTGGGAGTAAACCAACAGATGGAAGATAGCTCTCTCTGTCTCTCCCTTTTCTGGAACTGTGACTTCCAAAATAAGAAATAAATCTTTTTTTAAAAGATTTAGAAATTCTAGAGATGCAGATAAGCCTCAGACAGCAGATTTCCCATGCAGGGTTCTCAACACAACAAAAGGATATGGAAGAATCACAGAGCGCAAGGGCAGCGCAGCCATGTTCTTGTCAGCCCTTCAGGGAGAACCCTATGAGAGGAAGTCACGCATCGCCAACAGGATGCACACCCGGCACTCACCCCCTGCCCCTCCTACACACCCAGCCCTGCCTCCTCAGCCAGCTCCCTCCATGGCCTAGCTCCTCCAAGTGCACCCTGTACTTTGGTTAATATCGACACTTGTCCTTCCCTAAGTAATACAGCAGGTGGACGAAGACCAAAAACTTGAGTCTGTTCCTCCCGTCATTCTCTCCACAAACCCTGCACATTCAGGTCATTCTCATGCCTCCACGTCCAGACTACAGATGCCAAATGGCCCACAGGACAACAGCAAGAGACTCAGGAGGCAGCAGCCCTGAGTGTCCACACATGAGACACAGCTCCTGATCCGCTGGGGGCTTGCTCCCTACAGGAACTGAGCCTGGTGACCCAGGGCCCACAAGTTATTCGGTGGTGACCCCCAAATCTCCTGATGTGGGATGCAGACACCCACCACAGTGGAGACTGGGGAGTGACTGTCCTGGTGAGACTGGAAAGAGTCTGAGGTCTGAAGGAGGAAGATTCTGAGCCAAGGCTCCCAAGTGAAGCCCTGCTCCCCACTCACACACACCTGACCAGTGTCCTACTGGTCTCACTGCCAGCTGACCCCTGCTCAGACTCCCAGCATGCTGGGTGCACTCCCTTCAGCTCAGCTCCCAAGACCACCACTCTCCAGCCCAGTGTTCCTACCCAGCCTGACTGCTTCCCCCATGAGTGCTCCCACCCTTCATCAGAGATCGCTCCTCTTCCTCTCCCCAACACCGGGCTTGCTGTCCCCAGAGGCTCTGCCACCTCCTCTGCCTCACTCGGGCAAAACACCCACAGCAAACACCAGCACAGCCCTTAGCACGGCCTGGCCCTGAGGTAAGCACTCACCCAGAAATGCAACAGACTCTAATGAAGTGCTATGGATACCACTGAGGAGAATCCCACAGGACTCCCAAAAATGAGTCACAGATCACTGCCCACCCAATGAATAAAAGGCTCTGGACTGTGGAGAAAGCCACTGGTAGCCCAAAAAAGAGTTATAGCTCACTGCTGCCCACAAACAAGCAAAAATAGGAAATAAAAATGGAGTCACTTATGCTAAGCCAGAAGCTGATGACATCACTTATGTCAAGCTCAGCGCTTGCCAGAAAGATGCTCCTCATCAGACTGAACAGACATCCCTGGGCAGTCTGATAACCTGTACGCTACAGACGACAACCTCAAGTTACCTTCCTACTCACACAGGGATTGGCTGCACCCCAGGAATACTGCAGATACACCCTGTCCTAAACAACAGATTGGTGGCACCCCGGGAAACTCCCAGAGGGAGCACAACTGATTGGTGACACCCTACCACTCCTGGAGATTCTCCCTTCATAATGACAAGGATAAAAGGATCATGGTCCCGGTGTCTGTGAACCTCTGGATCTTCACACATTCAGAGCTGAAGAGGCAGCCCGTTACACATGGATCCGTAATGGCACAAGATGACAACCGATCAAGGGCCCAGTGCATGTGAACCTCTGGATCTCCTTACACATGGAGAATAAGAGCCAGCTCACTAGCCCCCTTGCTAAGCAACACACGGAGACTACAGGACCAAACTCCAGTGGAGCCACCGCCTCGCCTGGACCCCTTATCAGCCTGCTGCCTGACCTGACCACACAGCTGGACCAGACCTCTCAGCAGGGGACCTCTCCAACTCCTTACCTTGTCATTCCCCTGGGAACTCCGGGCTTCTGCTCAGAGTGACAGCCATCCCACTACTGCGTGCCTGTAAGTGACTATTCTGAGATCCATCTCTCCGAGTGGTAATGAGACTCTGGACTCTGGACTTTGAACTTTCACTTTTTGGGAATGTGATAGGAACCTTAAGAACGCAGCATTTATAATGATATTGGCCATATGTAATAGGAAGGAATGTGCCTCGACCCTATGATTAAGAATGTCTTCTGCTTCGCTGTACTTATATTATTACAGTTGGACTGCCTTTGAGATTGCTTTGATGCCAGGTGTGTGTTATGATGTGTGGAGTAATGAACATAACTACAGAGATTGGTTTGCAGTGGGAAAGCCCTAGTGTGAATTGGAGTGAGCAATAAAAAGCCTTTCATTGGGAAGACAGTGTCGTGTCCGTGTGTTCCTTCTTCCCTATGCTCCGGCAATTCACCCTTGAGCCCTGTTGAAATGCGTGACAGCAAACACTCACTACATACCACCACCACTGCTAAACTCGGGAGACACCCACACTGTACATTCACTCCATTACAATTAGTAACACCTCTACAGCACACCCTACCCCACAGGTCCCACAACTCTCAGGTGGACACGGCTCCCCCACTACTGCAAAAACCGTCTCCACAAGCCATTGCCACTTCTACAGATTCCTCCAAGTAATTCTAAGAGTAAGGCAGTGCTATCCAACTCTACCAGACCACTCTTCCAACTCCTGGACCCTCAGCTCCAGGGCGATCTCTAGGAATTCACCCTACTCAGATACCCTTTTTTATCCTCTGTTCACATCTCTCGCTTCAAAGCACTGTACCGCGATGCTATCTTTTGTTGTGATATTAGCCATAGACTTTGTCAGAAACCAGCCAAACCGAATGGACCCATAGCAGAAGACTTCTCTCAGCACTCTCTCTCTTCTGGGTTGCATGCTTTACTACGGTGTGCTGCTTCTAACCTGCTGCCCTTTTTGTGGTCCCCAATTCTATATATCTCTCACATCCTCCCAAAGCCTCTACACAGCTCTCATCAATGCTTCCTCTCGTCTCTTCTTTGAACATAACCCCACCATCACTTCATGCGGGATCTGTACATACTCTTCCCACTTCCCAGCCAGTCTGGACAAAGGCCACAGGACTGAAGGGATACCCTGTACTTTCCCCAAAACAGGAAGAATTCAACCAACCTTATTTACCTATCAAAGGCATGTTCTGTGCTTTGCTGACAGGTCAAGTCCTTAAACGCATCCTACGTGTTCCCTTCCCTTTTTCCATGAAGTAGGATCACTGTCCCACAAACTCTATAACTGGACGATTACTCTCCCAGCCTCCCCTGTTTCCTCCATTTCCTTCCCCTACTCCCACAGGTTAGCGAAATTAGCCACAAAGGCAAATACTCCCACTCTAACTGAACCATCACTGTCAGGACCCAGCCCAAGGATGCATTGGTGAACATGCGGGGGACCATAAATAGAAGCATTCTTGCTCTGTGGCATCCAGCTGTACAACTGTCTTCCCATGAACTGGACAGGCATGTGTCCTCTTACGTTCCTATTTCACCCTTTCTCCTATACTCTCAACCAGACTTGATGTCCCATACCTCAAACATCCCATGTCAAGAGTGACTTGGACTTAGCAACCCTTCTTTCTTGTTGGGTGTTTTTTGCCAGGGATTGGGCCAGGAGCAGCCAGACTGGCAATTTCAGGAGACAAGACAAAGAAATACAAAGAATTATGTCTCACTCTCAAAGAAAACATAAATGACCCAGCACCACACCTGTCTCACTTCCAAGACCAGGTAGAGTCCTGTCAGCAGTGGTCCTGCAAAATCACTGAGGATTTAGACGTCCTCAGCTCCATAAAAGGAGGACTTTGCCTCTGGGTAAAGAGTGTGGCTTGTGGTCAGTGCCGCCATAGCTCAATAGGATAATCCTCCACCTGCTCGCCGGCACACCAGGTTCTGGTCCCGGTTGGGGCGCCGGATTCTGTCCCAGTTGCTCCCCTTCATTCCAGCTCTCTGCTGTGGCCCAGAAGTGCAGTGGAGGATGGCTCTAGTGCTTTGGCCCTGCACCCGCATGGGAGACCAAGAGGAACCACCTGGCTCCGGGCTTCGGATCAGTGTAGTGCGCCGGCCCCAGCGGCCATTGGGGGGTGAACCAATAGAAAAGGAAGACCTTTCTCTCTGTGTTTCTCTCTCTCTCACTGTCCACTCCATAAAAAAAAAAAAAAAAAAAAAAAAAAAAAAAAAAGAGTGTGGCTTGTACACCAGTCAGTCAGGTGCTGTGAGAGATGCTATTGAGCACATTGAAAAGCATGCTAATGAAATGTAAGAATGCATTACAATACCCTTGCCACATCTTAGCCATCTTTGCCACTCTGAGTAACTTTTCTACTACTTTCTTTTTCCCTCATAATCACGGTGCTTTATTCTTATGATATATAATTACACATTTCAAAAGTGCTCACAGGAACCAGTGACTGCTAGATCCCAAGACATCCCGCAGGAACATCACAAGACTGATCTTCTTCTCCAGTCACTCTGGACTACAGCCCTGCATCAGCAGGAAGTGGCCAATAGGACACCAGCACCCATCTCTCTCTCTGTCCTGGGAGTAGCAATACAGGACCTTGAGCAACATCATGGGCAGAAGAGATGCCGTGTTACAGCCACATCACTGCCTCAAGAGTTCAACCATTATCCCCAGCACTCTGGAAGGTTGAAAAAGCCAAGGCAAACCATCTCAGCTCTGTCTAATCCCTGCCCAGCCCGAACCAAAAGTACCCAGGCTAGATAAGCCCCAGTCTCTACCAGAACGTGTCCCGACCCTCGCTAGTAGTGGGCCCTCAGGTCTGTCTCTAAATAAATAGGCTCTAGCTACTGAGTGTCGCTCCTCCTCTTCATGGAGGAACGACACTAAACCCTGCCTAGGCTTCATATCTGAGTCACGGCACCATTATGTCGCTCCCCGTCTTCGTGGAGGAACGACACAAGACCCTGCGCTGTTCTTTCATCTGCTCGGCCCTCCCCGGGTTTGCTGCTGGTTCTTCCCGGGTTGGCTGTTGGTCCTTCCCGGGTTGGCTGCTGGTCCTTCCCGGGTTGGCTACCATCCCTTCCACCTCCGTGGAAGGGCGGTTCCCCCTGCCACATTCCCCACTTCCGCAGGGGAGCGGCACACCACCAGCCGGTTCTCTCGGGGGCTGCACAGGTGTTCCCCTTAGATGTTCCCCTTAGATGTTCCTGGTGCATGCCGTCTCTCTCCTCCTTTATAGTCCTCCTCTGCCAATCCCAACACTGCTACCCAAACGCCGAGTACGCTGCTCTCCTCCAATCAGGAGCAGGTCCCACAGTTTATTGGTTGAACTGGAGGCAGCTGTGTAGAAGCTGTTTTCTCCTCTCCCAGCGCCATATTGTGGGAGAGCAGATGCATAAAATAAGTCTTAATTCCAGTAACTTAGTCTAGTCCGAGTTGCTCCCCACAACTGAGTTCGTAGTTTCTAGTCCATCTTCCCTGTGTCTTGTGCATATTGTCTAAAACACACCATTAGGGAAATGAGCAAGCCAGACAACACCAGCATTCAGTCCTCGGTCAGGGGAAACCATTAGATGGATTCCCGGCAAAGGAACATTCCGTGTGTTTGAGTTCAGTTGCTTATTCATCCACTGATCCACTCCCCACACACATGCAATGGCACCAGGGGTGAGCCAAGAACCAGGAAGTCACCCCAGATCTCCCTGACAGGTGGCAGTAACCCAAGCATTTGAGCTTTAACCCCCAGGATCTCTTTAGCAGGAAGGTGATACACATGAAACCCAGGCACTCTGATACTCTGATGTCCCAACCACAAAACACAATGCTCACACCCCACTTTTATTCCCAAATAAAAGACCACTCACCTGCACAGATAGTAAAATGTCCTGCCAACAACACCTCAGCCAGCACACGTCTGGGCCAAGACTTCAACTCAGATGAGACTGAAACCGCAAGTTGTAACCGGGAACCTATAGGAGGAAAACACCCTCGTGTTTCAACAGGCCTTGGAGAACCTAAGAACCAATTCACACCTACCAGATGACAAAGAGAAAGATGTCTGCTGCTAGCAACACAAACTTTGGGATTCTCTACTGAGTCCACCGTGACCTCAGCCATAAGACCAAAAGGGCCTCACTTAGAAATGAAAGCTTGAAAGGGCTGGGCCCTGTTGGCAACCAGTCCTCTGCCTGTCACGAGCTGTTCAACCACAGCCCTGACACAGACAATAAAGATGCTTCCTGCTCCCCCTCTTCCATGGCTTATAAAGGAAAGGGGACCCCTAAAGTGAAAGTAGGGCAATGCCAGGGCTGAGAAAAGATCAGCAAGGGGGCTCCAAAGTCAAGTCCACTTGCTGTGCTGTGGCACACTGTCCCCTAAACTGCTCCAGACTACTTGGAAAAAAAAAAATAAGGGTTCCTTTTTGTATGTAGGATCCAAACTGAGGAGGCCCTCCCTTAGTACCATAATGGGGAGGTGGAGGGCTCAATCTAAGGCGCTGGGGAAGAGGTAGCTGTGATCCAGACACGCACCCTTGAGGGGCAGCCAGGGCCTCCACCAAGCCCACCATCAACACCATGACCTCCCCCGGGAGTCAGGAGCCACCAAGGGAATGAAATGGCCTGACCCCAGATCAGGGCAGTCAGCTCACCCTGTCAGTGCTCATCACCAATTTCATAGTGTCCCATGTCTACAGGGAAATACACTTCATTGTGTCTATTCATTCAAAATAGGCCCAGCACTCAATGTCAAGTCTACCATTGCTTTAAGAAAAACAAAGAGCCAACTGCAGTCCCCTCTCCTTGTCCCCACCCTCCCAGGGAGGAGCCCCAGAGCAGGTGGGCCTCAGAGGCTCTAATTCAGCCCCTTCCCAAGAAGAGCTCACTGCCCAGAGAGGAGGGGAGTGAGGCCTTCCAACCAGGCTCTGCTGGGGGGGGGGGGGGTGTTTATCCAGACGCCCACCAGGTGCAGGCCTCTTTCTGCTCTCACCCAGACAGAGCACCTCCATCCCACAGCCTTGCTTTACCCTCTGTAATATGGAAGGTCTGATGGAGACCACGCATTGGCCTCCTTGCCACTCTAAACGTCTGTGCCCATTTTGCTTGCATGTCCCCACATCTCTGGGAACAGCAGATCCTCCCTTAAAGTAGGCAACGCCCACCCAATCCAGCTTGCTGCTGAGAGGGGCCAGAGCTTTTCTGGAATCCCGGCTGAGCCCTTGCCCCACCCTCTCCCAGGGCCTCATTCTAGACCCAGCCCCCTCCTCAGACAGCCAGCCTCTCATTTAATCCTCCCTGCACACCTGGCCACAGGAGAGACAGCGCCTGGGGTCAGCACCTGAAAACCCCACCTCTCTCCCAGCCAGCAGGGGTCTACACCTGCCTGCAGAGAAGAAGGCCCTGCAATCCCTGAAGGGAAGTGGCTGCCTGCTCTGCCCCACCGCAACTGTGCAGGAAGAGCCCAGCAGGTCGGCCAGCACTTACCAGTGGTCCGGGGGTGGCGCAGGCCGGGGACAGGTGCCAGGCGTGGGCACTGCAGACACAAAGGCGCTATGGCGGTTTCGGCGTCTGGGATGCCAAAAGAGGCTTCCAGCGCCCAGGAGCACAGGAGAGAGCAACCCCATGCTCCCTGGGCACACAACATGAAGGTCCTGAGCCCAGAGTCCGCCACCAGCTTTCGACCGCCAGGGGGCGTCTGCTTCAGCATCGGTGCAGGCCACTGGCAACTGACATTTCCAGGGACCCCGCAGGCAGCAGCAGTTTCAGGAATCCAGAACCATGACCTCAGTCCCCAAAGCCGGGTTGGGGTGTAAAGGCCCCCATCGACCGCAGTGCTAAGAGTAAAGCAATGCAAGCAGCAGCCGCGGGACTCCGCCCAGGAAGCCACCTGGAGCTGCCATCCCAGCCTCTCATCTGCGGGCGCCATGCGGGGAGGGGTGCGGGGAGTGCCCCAGCTTGGGGGCCTGCGTGTGGGCTGTAAATGCCGACTACTCTGTTAGAAACTTCTAATAAAATATTTAGGGGGAAAGCTTCGGATACCTCCAAGCACGCCTGATGAAGAAAATGTTTCCAAATTGGCGTCCCGGCGGGAGGAAAGGACGCCATCGTCATGGCGGCCTCCTCTTTCCGTTACCCGCTGCTGTGGACCATTCGGGACTCGCCAGGGACGCTGGGAGGCAGCACATCCGGGTGTCCGCAGTCAGGGTCCACTAGCTTCAGGCGTCCCCACATAACGAAGTGAAAAGTAGGCCATGGGAAGAAGGGTTCCCCCAAAGAAACTACCCCCATCGTCTGCCTGGGCTTCTGCAGCAGGGCGAAGGGCATGGCCAAGGCCAGGCACAGACCGGAGGGCCCCTCCTGCTTCCGCCCGGGCCAATCTTCATACTTCCTCAGTTCAGCAAATGGCGGCCGTCTACTCCCCTGGCGGAGAACTGCACCACGCTGTAAGGAAAGCCTAGCTCAGGTCTGCAAGATCTGACTCAAACTGGCTTCTTGCTGCTTCGGTGGTGGTTTGTGGCGGTCCAGCCACACTGAGTTCAGTCTAAAAAATTCTGCTCCACGGGCACATCAGGAAAACAAGCTCTAGGCAGTTTACAATCCCTGCCCCTGTTCCACATCTCCCCTCCCCATTTCGCCCAAATCCTACACATTTGGCTACAAGGTGCCCCCTGAGACATTTCACTCCCACTCTGAGGGGAAAGCACAAAGTCATGCTTTTGTAACTACTTCTTGTTGATCCTGGACATGGCCCAGGCTGGTGGAGAGACACTCTCCTACTCAACATCAACAAAGGACTTCAGACACCGGGTGTAGCCCCCAGAGGCTGTGGGCAACAGGGCAGGCGTCTAGAGGCATCCTCACCTGACATTCAACATGGCGCCCTGTAGAGCAGCAGTCTGAGGTCTGACAGGGGCTCTCCAAGGAGCCATCCGGGGTGCAGGAGAGACAAGGAACTTCCCTGCTCTCAGCTGTGGTGACTGCAAGGAGTCCCATGGAGAAGTTTAGGAGAACAATCAGTGGTAAACAGCGCCAAGTGTGGTCCTGCCCAGAAGGAGTTAAACTGCTCCTGAAGAGAGCTCAGTTTACAATCAAGGGGGTAGGCTGCCTACCTGTGTAGGTGAGACTAGGTCTGAGGTGCACATCAGATGAGAGCAGCCACTACCTGTCCTCATTGTGTTGTCTTGTTCTCATTTCCCACCTTTGGCAGGTCAAGGGGCCAGCCCAATTGGGAAAGAGCCTTCCATAGATAATTCAAAGGGGCTGAATCCTAATTCCTTTTTGTGGCTGCTCTAACACAGGCTAAGGCACTTGGCACAGACCTTTAAGCACTTCTCATGAATTTCTTGGCAAAGGCTAACTGATTTATATGTAGGGTCTCACTGGATGGTTTCCAGACAATTGGGGTCTCCAGCACCAAGTCATTTGTACCTTATGCCTAAAACCTAGGAACTCCAGCCATCTTGGAAACCAAAACCTATCCATTACCACTTTGTCAATGATATGCAGCCCACATCTCAAATTTCCCTCTACAGACTTTTATACAATATTATTTCTGGGAAATAGACACAGATATCACACATGTGCTGATTCACCCCTGAAATGCCACTACTGGGGCTGGGCACTCAACTGAGGTCTGACACATGGGTGGCAGGGACCCAACCAGTTGAGACAGCATGTGCTGCCTCCCCAGGACTACGTAGATACACAAGAAGCTAGACTCAGAGTGGAGGTAGGCCTGGAACCTTAGCATCACCATGTGGGATGTGTGTAACCCCACAGTGTCCAACCTCCTGCTTCAAATCCCACCCTGAGAAGCTTTCAATGCCTTAGACATGCACTGCTGCTCCATCCTGACTTAGACCAGGAACGTCTGATTTCATAGCCAGTCTCTTCCCAGGTGGGATGCAGAGCTCAGGAAATGTGGGAGTCAGAACTTTTAAACCAGGCCACAGGGCAGAGGTTCCACTCCTCTCTCTGTCTGCTCTCACTGAAACTCCTTTAACAGCTCATTTTGTGACTCCAGTGTCCATCCTCTATCTCTCCAACTTGTCCTATCTCTAGGGTAGCCAAGGGCTTCACACGGGATTTGGATTTTATCCAGAGGCCGAATGCAGAGCCAGTAACCCATTGGACTTCTTCTGTTGAGGGGAGCTGAGCCTTTCCCATCTGGGGACACCTGGGCCACTCCTCACCAGTGTCCTTCCTGCTTGCTGTAGGCACATGGGTGAGGCTCTAAATTAGCCACTGACATATGGATGGGCGCTTTGTGGTTTCACGCTCACCCCCATGTCATTGTCCCTCATCCTACTGGGGTCCCTGGAATATACAGGAGAGCCAGCAGCAAGCCAGCAGCCTGCCTCCACATCTTTCTACCCATGTAGATATTCTCCATGTTATGGCTTACGAAACACAGTAGGCAGTGTCCACCAATAAAGAGGAATAGCCTTAGCACTGATGGTGTTTAGGTTTTCTGGACACTCTGAGATAGGCAGCACCTGTTAGAACCACCCGACTTCCCTGGGCATCAGGGTCCCAGGAAGCCTGCTTTCTATCCTATCCTCTTTGGGATGTCAAGTTACAAGAGTCAGTTGGGGGATGGCTTAAGTCCAGATTCCAGCTTAGAAAAGTGTCTGTCTCCCCCTCCCCCTATGGACAGGTACACAAAACTGGTGAAACATGAAAGCCTCTAGGGATGGGGGAGCAAGAAGAATAAAATCCCAGATGTACCTCAAGTGCTGGGAAGGCAAAGCCAACATCAGAGTCATCCATTGAGAAGCATGAAATTCCCTCTATATTTCTACCTATAGAAGGCAGAGGTCTCTAACCCTGAAGAAAGTGGCCCCATGCTGTGAAGCAGGGAAGGTCAGACCCAGCAACCCAGAGACCAGGCTCAGGGGTTCTCAGACCTCTCCCTTTGCACTCCTCTGTCTCCCAGGGGAGAACCTGACACCAGCATTCTGACGTCCTGGCAATGGCTGTCCCTTTCTCCTCCACAATTCTGAACTGATGCTGAACTTCCGGTCCTGGCAATCCTGTCTACGATAATTAAGACACTTATCAAACTGCCCAAATGACTCAGCCCTGATTCCCGTGAGATGCTGGACAAACAGGAGTGCAGGTGAACGTGCACCTCTCAGCTCTCTGCATCAGCAGCTCAGCATGGCCAGGTCCCAAGCCACACCTGAGTGCCATAAGGTAGACTAAGTGTCCTCAAGACTAAGTGCTCCTGGATGTGCTGCTGCCACCATTGCTCAGATCTTGGTGATGGACAACTTGACCCAGGATGCAGCAAGTGTTACCCACAAGCTGCCTGGCACTCTTCAATCTGACAATACCAACTGCTTTACTCACAGTTCCCAGAAACCCCTACCCCAGGTTAAGAACCATCTCACATCTAGAGTGTTTGTGCATCAGTACAGGTGATGCCAGGCCTAGGGGTTCCTTGGCACTACACAACTGATGGCATCCCTTGCAAGCACATGCTAGAATGATCCCCAGAAACCACAAGAGAGACTGAGAATGTCCAGAGAGGGACGATGAACTGTGCAGGCTCAAACTTGTACAAAGATGAGAGAGCAGGTCCAAGCCCAGCTGTGGCACTGTCTGGGCCCAAGCCAGCCCTGTGGCATGTACTGCCTGTATTGGTGCAACTGTGGACAGTGGGTACATGGCATAGGGGTAAAAGTAGAATAGGCAGTGCCCAAGTAGAATCTGAGGATATCTTGTGTGAGGAGGGGGCTCAGCTTAGGAGCCACAGGAAGTGACCTCACCATGTTGGTGATGACCTAGAGAACTGGGTGCCCCAGCAACCACCCCAACATTCCAGAGTTGAGTCTAAGCCAGCTCACCTGGATAGAGTCTCGCAGGAAGATGTTCCTGAGTTGTATCCCGCGATGCCCAAGCCCAGGCCCCAAGAAACCCTGCTGTGGGCGCCTCGCACAGTGGTGGGGACGCTGGGCCAGCCCTCACCCCCGATGCTCCTGGAGCTTCAAGCAGAAAAAGGCCAAGGTGAGTCTGGCAGCCAGGGCAGCTCTCTGCTGACCAGGACACCACTGAGACCCCACTGGGAGCCAACAGGCCCGTGGGTGTGGGTGGACATGGTCCACTTCACCCTTGGAGGAGGGAGCCTGAGTTAAGAGGCGGGGGCAGCCTGAGGCCTAGAGCTGCTGGCTGTGGAGGGATCCAGGGACTGCCTCTTACCTGCCATTCTCTGCTCTTGTCTCCCAGGTCCAGGACAGGGCAGCCTCGCACCTGGCACAGCACAGCGGGCTGGGGATCTCAAGCAGCCCAGACAACCGTAGGCCAACTAAAACTGATGACCAGTGTGTAGTGGGGGAGTGGTCAAACTCACCCACAACTCCAAAGCTCATGTATCGGGCATTCCCCCAGGCGCACAAGCCACCTGAGGGCCCCCTCAGTCACTTAATCTTGGTAAAGGCCCAGATAGAGCCCAGGGGGTCCGCAAATGCCCATTTCACAGTGGAGGCACTGGGGCTCGACGACTTCGCCTGTTCCAGAAGGGAAGCAAGCTCAAGGCTGGGCCTGGAACCTGACCTGACAGCTGGGGTGGAGCAGAGCCATGACCTTCAAGCAACAACCCCACTGGAGCAGTCATGGCCCTCCAAAGATGAGTGGGGGACAGCTGTGTCCCCAGCTGCAGCCAAGGAAACTGCAGAAGCACCAGACACAGCACTGGCCCCGGCCTCAGCCCCAGCTCCGCAAGTCCCTTCTGCTGCAGCCCCAGTGCCACACCTGTCCTTTCCCACCCCGGTGTTCCTGTATTTCTCTTTAATCCTCCCCATAGTGTTCCTTGTCTCCACCTTATTGTCGCTTTACCAAAATAAAATTTAATTGATTACCCACTGCGAAATGTGCAATTCACACCATGCGAACTCCCCACACTGTGCCCTCCCCACCCCACTCTCCCTGCACCATGGCCCCAATGCCAGGGACCTGGAGCCTCTGGAGAGGACATGGGCACCTCCCCAGGGGCAGAGCCAGGGTTCCCCGCTTGGATAAAGAGCACCAAGTGCTGGGACAGCCAAGGAAAGCAAAGAACAGGGAGACGCTTGCACGGCTGTGGCAGTGCCTCCTCATGGTCAGGGACGCGGGCTCTGAGGTCACAGATCTGACCTGCAGTGGGTGTTCTCCCTGCAGCCTCAGTGTCCTCATCTGTGAGATGGGAAGGCAGCCCTGCCACAGCCATCACCGGCACAGGGAATGTGATGCTCTGCACCTCCCTGCACACATTGGGCCCCCTGCTTCCAGGATGAGGAGTACACAAGAAAGGGGAAGGGTTCTTACACTGAAGGCACAGTTTGGGTCCTGGGGCCACACACACACACAGAAGCCGTCACAGTCTCTGTCCCTGCACTCAACAATGGGTCACTGGCAGAAGGATCCGAGCAGGGATTTGCTCACTGCTCAGGAGACAGGGGGGCCTTGTCTGGGACCCCATGTGCCCCAGACTGCCTGGTGTGCAGGTGACATGGGTGGGTCTTGGCTGGGAACATGGAGACACAGAGGATGTCCCCAAGCACAGTAATTGCTCTTTCCTGAGCTCCTGGGATTTCCCAGCCCCTGGCCAAGCACACGGGTGACCACGTCTCAGCCATGGGGAGGCACTGCTGTCACTCCCCATTTGCAGATGAGGAACCCCCAGAGAGCGAGGCCCCACCCAGGTCACGGCTGTGCTGATCCCACATGAGGACTCCCCTCCCCACCGTAAGCCCAGACTCTCAGGCCCCGATGACCCTGTGGGCAAACAAGAGGGCAGTACAGCAGGCCAGGAAGGAGTGGGAAGGGTAGGACTTTCTCCAAGACATCATAGCCACAGGGATTTACTTAACAGGCTTCTCAGCTGATCCACTAGGGCTGAGGGATGCCTGTGGAGGAGGAAGCTGGGGCACTGGAATGCTGACCTGTGTGTGTTCCTGGGAATGGCCTGGATCACACCCACTGACAGCACTGGCCCCATGACTGTCCCTCTGGATAATGTCCCAGATCACCTGCTGCCTGTGCACCCTGCACACCTGGAACCTGGAACCCAGGTCAGGCCAACTGGAGGGAGTGGGTGGCAGTGGGTGCACCTGTCCTGCAGAGTGCCAGGCAGCTCAGTTTGGCTGCCTTGGCAGGGAGGGCCCCAGGGATTCTGTGCTCCCCAGCACTGGGAGGGCACAGAGCGGGGTGTCCACCACTCAGGACAGCTGATGTCCCCATCTCAAGGTCATGAGCTCATGGTCATGTTAGTTCCAGGTCCTGGTGTCTAATAGCTGGAGCCCACCCCCAGGAGGCTGAGCTAAGGGTCATCTCACCATGTCCAGTGGTGCAGCCTGATGCCCTGATGAACTGTAGGGTCCTAGAGAGACAGGCTGCCCCAGGACAGTGGACAGAGCGGGCAGAGGCCAGAGATGCAAGCCCTGGGCTGTTGTGGGGAGAGGTGAGTATGAACAGCTGAGGGGCTGAGCCCCTGCAGGCCTCTATCTTTGCACGCGTCTCTCACTGTGTCCTGACCACTCAGTGACATGGGCATGTGAGGTCCCCACTGAGGCTAGAGGCCCTGCTCTCTGCAGTCTACTCAGCAGCAGAGCCAGGTTTAACACAAGGAGAAGCCAGAAACCCTGGGACTCCCTTGAAAATGAAGCTGCACCCAGATGCCCTGCCTACAGGTAAACTTAAGTAGGCCCAACAGACATGTGTGCACCAGAAAGCGCTCTGCTTCCCAGGACTGCACCCTCCCCAGTGTGCTAGCCTCAAGTTCACATAGCAGGACAGGCAGACAGACATCCGGACCTGGAAAGTCTTCTGTATTTCCCTGGTGGTGGGAACATCCTGGGAAGACGACAAACACAGCAAATGATGCTCTAAACATCCAATGACCATGACAGAAAATGAGCCTCCACACCTCTCATTTAGTTTTGCACCTCATGAATTCTAAAATGAAACCTAAAATAAAGCATCAAAAACATAAATGTTGAGTCAAAATATAAATCATGTGGAAGACAATTTACAAAATGTTTCTAACTTGGAGTGACTCGCAGATTATGAGTGCATCACAACTATGATAGATAATAAAAAGATATAAGGTAATTTCTCCAAATTTCAAACATTTGTGATTCAAAAAACACATTTTCTTTTTTTTCTGACATGCAGACTGGACAGTGAGAGTGAGAGAGACAGAGAGAAAGGTCTTCCTTTACCATTGGTTCACCCTCCAATGGCCGCTGCGGCCAGCGTAACGTGCTGATCTGAAGCCAGGAGCCAGGTGCTTCTCCTGGTCTCCCATGTAGGTGCAGGACCCAAGCACTTTGGCCATCCTCCACTGCACTCCCGGGCCACAGCAGAGAACTGGACTGGAAGAGGGGCAACCGGGACAGAATCCGGCACCCCGACTGGGACTAGAACCCGGGGTGCCAACGCAGCAGATGGAGATTAGCCTGTTAAGCTGCAGCATTGGCCAAAACACATTTTCAATGTGAAAAAACATCACACAGATTCAGACAAAATATTTTAAAATCATGTATCTAACAAGATCCTCTGTCCACAAAATATAAGGAACACTTACAACTGAATAATAGGAAAATGAACAACTCAACCAACCAGGAGTCAAATATTCAAATGTGCATCTCTTCTAAGATAAGCACAGAAAAAGTTGCTCAACATCATCTGGACCCAGGGAAAAGCAAATGGAAGCCACAGTGTGAACCAACTCTCCCCTACTTGAGTGGCAGGAGTGTAAACAATGGGGAGGAACCAGAGTTATAAAGGATATGGACAAACAGACCTCACCCATTGATGGTGAGAGTGTGAAATGGTGCAGCCACTGTAGTGTTCAAGCAGTTGTCCCCAAATGGAGATATGAAGAGTTACTGTCGGACTCAGCTACTCCATTCCTAGCTCATACTCAAGATGACTGAAAATACTTGTACCTAGAAAAAAGTACCCAGGTAGACATAAGTTGGTATCTGTTAATAAGAACCGAGGATATAAATGGGTTAAATTCTCCACTAAAGGATACCGACTGGCTGAATGGATAAAGACCAACACTCAAGATACTGCCTGGAAGAAGCCCATTTCAGACACACATTACATCAGGATAAAAGAATCTGTCAGAAAGAGCATCTAACAACTGCAAATACATACATGCACCTGAAAACAACACCACCTAAGCATGGAATATAAACAATATTGGTTCTAAAGGGAGGTAGAGACCCCACAACAATAGGAGCTGGGGACTTCAACATCAGGTTATCTAGGCAGTCTAGAAGCACTAGACTTACGAAGTGCTACAAACCAAACGGACTCATCATTTGTGGAACGCTGCCTCTGGATCCTCAACTGCAAGACAGTGCTTAACCACAGAACCTAACTCTATCACTTTTGGGAAGAACAAATTGATTAAATGAAAAGAACATGGAAGAAAACCTGGTCATAACGAGCACACAACATACTCATCAATGCTGTGGGTGATTAATATTGGTATTAAAAAAGAAATCAAAACAGAAGAAAGACTGAAATCTAAGACCTGAGCCTTTGAAACAATTAGAAGAAAACACAGGGGAACTGCTTCCGGACAGTGCTACGGGCAAGGATTTCTTAGATCAGATCCCAAGAGCACAGCATGCCAAGCCAACTAGCAGACAAATGGGATTTCACCAAATTAAAGAGCTTCTGCACACCAAAGGGAACAATATGTGCCAGCCAACATCTGGCATAGCAGTTAGTAAAGTCAATATAAAACACAACTAACAGCAAAAGCAAAAAAACAACAATAAGTAAGTCAGATTAAAAATGGCCATAGATAGAAATTGACATTTCTTAAAGGAAGACATCTCACTGGTTCTATTCCACAGCACAGGGGGGGACTACAGATACTGTGAAATACTGGACAAAAGTGCTGATCACTAAACTCAGAGAGATACAAAGCAAAACTACAATGGGATACCAAGAGATGAAAGATAACAAGTGAGGATGTCTGTGGAGGGGA